AGGGAATGGAATTTGGGAAGAAGGCCCATGGAAGTTATTGTTCGAAGTCTTTTGTTTATACCTTGTCAAACGCATTTTCCGTTAGGTTAGTTTTGGCCACCGTTTGAGTTTTCCGTTAACTACACTAAAGCTGTTCAACTTTTGCAAAGTTAAGGGGCGATAAGTGCTAAAAGTGATACATAAAGGATAAACTTATACCTAGCTCTAAATATAAGGGATAATTTTAGCTACATCCTGATTCATATTTCAAGTCACTAGATACAACAATGAGCCCGTTTGGATTATGGTAAATAGCTGATAAGCTTGAAGTGTTAAAAAGTATTTTTAAGTGCTGAAACTGATTTTTTAATTAAACATTTACGTGTTTGGGTAGACGTGCTAAAACTGATAATAAGCAGTTGACGTGTTTGGTAGAAAAGTACGATAAGTTGTTATTCTGTTAAAATGACCAAAATATCCTTAAAAACTTTAGAAAAGATTATAAATTAAAAAATTTCTTTGTAAAATAATGATGAACCACGAATATGGAATGAAAAAAAAGTTAGAAAATTTATTTGGGAAAAAAAATTATTTTGTGAATTAGAAAATATTATTAAGGATAAACTAGTAAAAACCCCAGTCAAGCTAAAAGTGCTTATAAGCCGAAAAACAATAAGTTAGGGGTGACCAACTTACGACTTAATGCTGATTTTAGTTTATAAGCACTTGACTTATAAGTACTTTGGGTGTTTACGAAACGAGTAGATAAGCCAAAAGGTGCTTATAGGCCAGTTTGACCAGCTTATAAGCTTAGCCAAACCCCCTCAATTGCAAACTGTCAATCACATAATTGCAGTCTAAGACAATTTGTACGTGCGCTTCTGCTGTAAACAAGCTACATCTTCCCTTTTCCATGCTTGAGTTGGAAGAAAAGAGCAACAAGAAATGACACTAAAATACAGGCTGCTAGTTCAAGATAGTAATACTAAGAATTTGCAGTAAGACTGTATAAAAGATTGTAAAGTTTTGGTCATTCCTTTATCTCCCTCGTCTTTAACCAGAAATTCAGGGCCTGAAATGCTAAATCAATGAGTTTTATTTGAGAAAAAAAAAAAAAGAAACAATGAAATTATATCTGAGGGTCGGTATCAGAAAGAAACACAAATGCCTAAATAAATCAAGCAAGAAACTAACAAATCCCTCAATTGATGTTAATTGTTGCTTTGTGTCTTGAAAAGTGCATTTTTTAAATACGTGTTGATGTGCCACGTGTTTACTATATGATTATTCATTATTTGAAAATTTGTCAATTATACGAAGTGGTTATCAATTATTATTAAGTATGAATTAATCGATTATATTCTATATAGTGGTTGGACCTGCTTTGCCTGAAAGTCCTATTTCAGACCATGGTCTTAATCATTTTATTTTCTCTTTTGTAATGTGGAGTAGTAATTAAGCTTTTGAAATTACAATTATGGTTTCTACTTAACTTTCTAATAATGTTTAATGGACCATTCTCATTCCTTGCCTCCTAAAGGTACGGCCTGAGTGCTTAAAATTAATTAGTACTATCATGATCCTCATAAATATCGAAGGCACGAGGGACTCAATTTTGATTAAATTTATTTTTTGTTTATTTAAAGTTTTATACACCTACTACAAATGTGTTCTTTACTTTAATAATTATATCTTATGTAATTTAAGAAATTAAGTTATGCACCTATAATCATAACTAGTTGTTCTTGATCACGAAATCATCATTTTGATAATTTTGTTGCACGTTTGTTAATAACAATTGTTAGTACTCTATTTGTTCATTCCTATGTGACACAATTGGTTTGGATCTTGAGTAAATATTACTGTAGTTTATCTTACAAATAAATAATATACCAAGTAGAATTGGTAGAAAATATTAAAATAATAATAAAATGTTAGCTTGACTGAAATATTACGTCCATATTTCATTTTAGTAAATCAAATTATTTGAATTCTTGAGACTTGAGTAAGTTCTATAAAATGACATTATAATGACGTTAAATATAACAGAAAATCAATTTATATAAAATATATTAACATTTTTTTTTTGAAAGAATTAAAAGGAAAAAGGGAAAGATGAAAGAGAAAAAAAACGAAAGAAAATATGAAAGAGAAAAAAAAAGGAAAAAGGTTAATATTGTAACTCCCTCCGTTTTAAATTTATGTGAACCTATTTTTTTTAAGTTCGTGCCAAAAGAATGACCTCTTTCCCTATTTGGAAACAATTTACCTTTATGTAATGATTTATAGCCACACAAAACTATTACACAAGTTCAAAAGTTTCTCCCTTTTCTTAAACTTCGTGCCCAGTTAAATGAGTTCACATAAATTGCAACGGAGGGAGTAGTATCTTTGCACTGAACTATGTGAATTCCACTAAATACTTTACTCCCAAAGTTCCATAAAACGTACGTAAGATCTGTGTTGAGCTAAGGGAACTCCACCAAATGCTACAATCCCATAATCTTACATTTGCTCAGAAAGATTAGCTAGTTCAAATCCTGCAAAGAAGAAGCACCAAAAAAATCCAGTTTGACCTGTGGATCGATTGATTAGCAAGTCTCCTAAGAGATAGTTAATTAATGTAAGCACCCGTTTATGTCCAAAAAAGAGAAGTGTGAACTGATCATAAGGGAAAGACTCCAATAGGAATATGGGAAAGTTTTTCTGCTCCATTGTTCTTAATCAGAACTTGGAAAAGCTAATTTAGCTAAAACAGATTTCTAAGCCNTGTTTTGTATCTCTCTCTCTCTCTCTCTCTCTCTCTCTCTCTCTCTCTCTCTCCGTGTTTGCCTCTTCGAAAGTCTTTCAGAAGCATTTGATTGATGAGGTTTCCCTTGCAAGATTTGATCTTTCAGTTATACTTTTATTGTTGAGATCTCTAGCTGCGCTTCTTTTTAATTTTTACAGTTATTGGCTAAATTTTTGGATTTTGTTCGAATTTTCAGTTTGGTTTTTTCTTTTCTTTTTCTTTTTTGGTGTTTGGAAGTCATACAAACTCAAAGAGAGCTGTATCAGTGACATGCTTTGGCGTATGTACCCTTAGTGCTACGAATTCAATCGGATCCAGTATTTTTGACAGAGAAT